AAAGCAGAATACCATACCTTTCAACCTCAGTCAGATAAATCACTCAGAGCAGTTATAAAAAATATTCATCATACAACCGAACCCACTGAAATCACTTCTGCTCTAGAAGAGATCGGCTTTACCGTAAGGCAAGTGACTAATATAAAACACCAAAAAACCAAAAAGGCACTACCATTATTTTTTGTTGATCTTGCTCCTGAAACTATAAGTAAGGAAATATTTAATATTACTTCCCTACTAAACACAAAAATCAAAGTAGAAGAACCTCACAAGCGCCGCGAAATTCCCCAATGCCTAAACTGTCAGACCTACGGCCACACAAGGAGCTACTGTTCTAATTCTCCTCGCTGTGTTAAATGTGGTGGGACCCATCCCACCGCAAACTGCACCAAATCACCTGAATTGCCGGCAAAATGCGCGCTCTGCAACGGCGAACACCCTGCAAGCTACAAAGGTTGTATTGTATACAAAGAGCTTCAACAGCGTCGCCGCCAACCTTACAACTCAAGAAATAGCAATCAGCAGCAACAACCACCACCAGCCAATCACCATTCGCAGTCCATCAACCAGCCAACACCACATCCAATGACACAAATTCCAAGAACTCAACATCACTCATACGCAGAAGTGGCAGCTACTAATACAGGTAACACACCACCGCCAAACTTCCCCGATACCCAACAAACATCTAGCATTGATAACAATGTACTAACTAAATTTTTAGAAGACTTCAAATGCATAATAAACCCACTTATCTCTCTCCTCACAACAGTCATGACCAATCTTTTAAATGTCAAACACAACGTATAACTCATTTACCAACAACTCTCTCACGATCCTCTCATGGAATGCAAATGGCCTAAAAAATCACAAAGATGAATTTTTAATCACTCTACAAGAAAAAAGAATTGATATTGCATTAATATCTGAAACGCACTTTACAAACAACTACTCACTCAACCTACCAGGTTTCCGCTCATATCAGACTAACCACCCAGATGGAACTGCACATGCAGGTGCTGCAATTTATGTTAGATCATCACTTGCATCGCACCAACTTACTAATTTTCAAACAGACTACATCCAGTCTTGCGCGGTATCCATATCAATTAACAGCATTCCCATCTCAATAGCAGCTATATACTGTCCTCCCAAACACGCCATACATTCAAATCAATTCGATCTTTATTTTCATACACTTGGTCATAACTTCATAGTTGGTGGCGATATAAATGCCAAACATATTCAATGGGGATGCCGCACCACAAATCCGAGAGGAAACTCACTCTTACAAAGTATCACTCACAATACCCTACGAGTCATCTCACCTCCCAACCCCACCTATTGGCCAACGTCTCCTAGAAAGAGACCGGATATTTTAGATATATTTATAGCAAAAATCCCTAGCACGCTCCACTCCTCGATTATAAATCTCCACGCTCCATGCTCAGATCATTCCCCCATTCTACTCACAATAGACTGCCAGCCTTTGCCCAACCAATACAATGCACCACCGTTACATTCTCAAATCAACTGGGAAAATTTTCAAAAATTAATTCTACAAAAAACTAGTCTAAAAGTCCGGCTGAAAACCACATCTGACATTGATGACGCGGTGAATCTCTTAACACTCAATATACAAACCTCAGCATGGGATTCAGCTCTACCATCGAAACCACACACACCCACCGCAATTCTTCCTTTATATATACGTACCCTTATAGTACAAAAACGTCGGGCTCGCTGTTTATGGCAAAGAACTAGATACCCGGCTGATAAATGCCACTATAATGCACTCGCGCAAAATCTCAAACGCATCCTAGCAAATTATCGAAATGAATCTTACACTAAACACTTAAAATCACTTACGACAAAAGACGGTTCTCTCTGGAAGGCAACGAAACAACTTCTTCGCGTGCATAACCCTCCAGCTATTTTACGCGACGCCAGTGGCAATTGGGTACACTCTGACATGGAAAAAGCTAATATATTCGCAAACCACCTCGCTGACACATTCCAACCACACAATACCATCCTTCAACCGGAAAAAATCAATGAAGTTGAACAATTCCTTGACATACCGTTACAAATGTCCCTTCCTCCTAAACACTTCTCTCCAGCAGAGGTAAAATATACAATTTCGAAATTTCCCCGAAAAAAGTCTCCCGGATACGACCTAATAACAGCAGAAATACTTAACCAGCTCCCCAAAAAAGTTATCATACTTTTGACCTACATATATAATTCAATGCTCAGATTATCCTACTTCCCATTACTATGGAAGTATTCCTCTGTTATACTTATCCTGAAACCAAAAAAAACCTCCAGACTGTCCATCATCCTACAGACCAATAAGTTTGCTACCAATACTATCAAAAGTTTTTGAAAAAATGCTCCTAAAAAGACTTATTAAAACCGTTGAAGAAACAAAAGCCTTACCCGACTCGCAATTTGGTTTTCGTAGCAAACATTCCACCATCCATCAAATTCACAGAATAGTTGACAAGATATCTTTCTCCTTAGAGGAAAAACAATACTGTACAGGTGCTTTTCTTGACGTTTCCCAGGCGTTTGACCGCGTCTGGCACGCAGGTCTACTGTTCAAATTGAAGCTCATTCTACCAGCTAGCTACTACCTGATTCTGAAATCCTACCTAGAAGATCGCTTCTTCTCGGTACGTTACGGATCATCCACCTCCCCACCGAAACCAATAAACGCAGGAGTCCCTCAAGGTGCAGTCACTGCTCCTCTTTTATTTAACATTTTCATATCCGACCAACCAACAATACCCACTTCCCTTGTTGGTGATTTTGCCGATGACAAGGCAATAATAACCAACAATATTGACCCTATCACTGCCTCCCTTAACATCCAAGAACATCTCTCACTCCTTGAACAATGGTATAAGGAATGGGGAGTAAAAATTAATGAATCTAAATCCATACACTGTACCTTCACTCTTAGAAAGAAAAAATGTCCACCCATCATCCTTAATGAACAAACTCTACCTGTCGCACCATGCATTCGCTACCTAGGCATCACCATCGATCAACGTCTCACCTGGGCTCCACATATACGTAACAAACTCTTAACTCTAAACGATCGTTTTCGTCTTCTCCGTTCTCTTCTTACTTCTCATCATATAAAATTGTCCACTAAATTACTAATATATAAACTCTTCTTAAAACCTATTTGGACGTATGGAATCCAATTATGGGGCTCCGCAAAACCTACAAATGTCAACCGTATCCAGCGTTTCCAGTCCAAAGTCCTCCGCGCTATAACCAAAGCACCCTTCTATGTATCAAATCATACATTACATAACGACCTAACCATCTCTTCTGTCAACGATGTAGCTAAGACCTTCTACAGACGTTTTAATTTCAACCTACAAAACCACAAAAATCCTTTAATCAAAGAACTTGCGTCTATAAATATACCCGGCAACCCACAAAAAAGGTTGAAGAGGCGGTGGTGTAGGGACCTATTAGTCTAGATCAATCTAACTCCCCTGGTTCTTCTTCCATATCTACCTATTATTTCCACTTATCTTTCCTTATGATATTCTCTAACGATGTATAACACTTTTTTTTTTTTTTTCTTTTTTTTTCTTTTTTTTTCATCTTTAACTGTAAAAGTGCCTTCACTGGAAGGTATCTTTAATCCGTCCTTCACGCCATAATTACCATTTCATCAATTTCACTTATTGTTTTTAAATTTATGTAACAGATTGTGGAAATATAAATAAAGTAATAAAAAAAAAAAAAAACCCAGTAAACTTAATTTTAACTTCATACGATACTTTCTCAGTGTTGATTTACTAACCTTAAACGTTTTTCTATAATATTTGTATCTTCAATGGTGTTTTTTTCTTGAAGTCCGTTAAATACTTGCTCTTGATACTCCCAAAAATCATCACAAGCATCATTTGAATGATAATTTTCAGTAGAACTATTTTCTATTGAAAAATGTTAAAACACATTGAACATTTTAAAATTTAAATAGTTGATTATTTTCAGTAAGACTTAAAAATATAATTATTATATACAATACTATCTAAAATATTATTATTGAACACACAAAATTGAAACTGTATACTAAAACAGTAGAACAATTAACTCGATCCACTAAAAATTCATAGGTATAAATTAAATTTTAGACAGAAAAATAAAGTGAATAAATATGAATATTAAGAAATGAATACTATATATACTCAAAATTAGAAATTCAATTTAAAAAAATAAATATTTTTCTCTTATGGTTTTAGATTTAAATAAATAAATAAAAAAAATTCTGGTCAGGTGGCACTGCTGGAAGCCTTCCTATTAATGTTACTTTATGTCAAATTACGCATGTCATCATACTTACTCATTATACCTTGTCTCGTATAGATTGTAAATATATTTTAAATAATTATATACCTAAACCTACCCCCCCCCCCCATTCAAAAATTCTAGCTACGCCACTGGCGTGAACCAATATTCATACTATTATTAATTACTATTAATTAGGTATACTATAACGGCCAATATTTTATCATATTAATCGAAAATGAATTAAACCGCAAAACACTGTTTATAATTTTTAGTGAATCATTACAACTTTATCGTCAACCGTGTTATTATTTTTTTAAATAAAAAGCCAACATCCAAAATTTCTTCACTATTTTAAGAAAAAATTCAATAATAGTTCCTATTTTGAATATTTATTGAACGGTATGTACATTTACTCAAAATTGTTTAAAAATGATTTGGAAATGAAACAAAACCTTATAAATTTATGAATGCAAACCATTTAAACAAAATTTTATTTATAATAGAGTACCATTATATACCTATTAAACCTATAATGTGTGTAGCTTTATGTGGGCGGTCGATAATAGCAAGTTCGTACCAACAAAATCACGTTTTCCGTGAGACACCTGTGGTGGGAGTATAATCTTATAAACAATAAACAATAGTGGTGTTCGAACGATAATAATTACTAAATCAGTTTATACTAAAGTTTACGACATCACAGGTACGAATAAGACAACGATTTTTTTTAATTTTCCTACATATCGTATTATTTTTTAGTAATTCACCGTGACAGTTATTTTATGATTTTAGTGCATTTCAGGTTACAAACACACGACACAAGAAGTATTATATATTATGAAACATACGTAGACGTCAGAAAGTGTTAACAGGATATCATAATCTATTGCTGGTTTTAAAAACCAGCCGGACTTCGAATATATATTGTTAAATTAAATTGAACATTGAGAAAGGTGAACAATATTCTAATTTTAAATTAAATCAGCACACCTGTCCCTTTAGAATGTAGTTATCAACAATGTCGGCACTGTAACTTATAGTAAACAGATAGGAAGCTGGCACAGCGAACACAAGTAGTTAATCAGATTTATCCTAATCAATAGTCAACACTCGACGGTATAGAATTCATATTTATCAATTTATTATTATAATAAATATAATATAAATATATTAATATTATACACTAATATTTGATATTATTAGAATTTTATCTTCATCGCTAATGGTGTAGAGTGTGTACTACTGTAGATCTATATGCTGCGCCACAAAGTACCATATGAAGTAGCGAGTATGACTATTTGTTGAACATAACATTATAATATTATTTACTTAAATATTTTGACCTTGACTAGAGGTTATATTATTATTAGTCATTACTTGTTGAGTATAAAGATAACAGAAATAATCGTGGATGCATTAACGTATTTAATAATATATAATTGACAGTGAAAATTATATCAAAATATAAACAGTTATTAATCCAGAAATTAACATCTAAAGAACAAATATTTATAAAGTTTTTCGCAATGTTTTCAAATTGTGTAATTACTAGAAATATTCATCATAGTTGTAAATTATTAATTGTTGGTGGAGGTTCTGGAGGATGTACGATGGCAGCTAAGCTCTCAAAATATGAACGTGATGTGATCATACTAGAGCCTAATGACACACACTACTATCAACCTATGTTTACATTGATTGGTGGTGGTATGAAAACTATATCCCAGTCCCGTTCTTCTACAAAATCAGTAATTCCAAAAAATGTGAATTGGATCCAAGACAAAGTCAAAAGTTTTAATCCAAAAGTAAATATTGTAACAACATCAAATGGAGACACAATTAATTATGACTATATGGTGGTATCTATTGGATTACAATTTAATTATGATCAAATCATTGGCTTAAGAGAAGCTCTTGATAAAAAAGATAGTGGAGTATGTACGAACTACTCATCTCAATATGTGGAAAAAACTTATCAGATTTTGCAGAATTTCAATGGTGGAAATGCAATATTTACATTTCCCAATACACCAATTAAATGTGCTGGAGCTCCTCAAAAAATTATGTATATTACTGAAGACTATTTAAGAAGAAAAGGTAAAAGAAACAATGCCAATATTATATATAAAACATCCACACCTGCAATATTTGGAGTTAAAAAATATGCACAGAAATTACAACAAATATGTAATGCACGCAATATTTCAGTTGGTACAAGGCAAAATTTAATAAAAATAGATTCTACCCAAAACAAAGCCACTTTTCAATTTCTTGATGAACCAAATAAAACCGAATCAATAGAATATTCTATGCTTCATGTTACTCCACCAATGGGTCCACCAGATGTTCTAATAAAATCTAGTCTCAGTAACAGTACTGGGTACTTAGATGTTGATCCTTATACATTACGTCATAATGTATATGGGAACATATTTGGAATTGGAGATTGTACAAGTTGTCCAACATCAAAAACAGGAGCTGCAGTAGCAGCACAAAGTATTATCGTTCTTAAAAATATGATAAATGTGATGAATGGTAAGAACATCAAAGATAAATATGACGGATACACATCTTGTCCATTAGTAACTGGATATAGCAAATGCATTCTAGCAGAATTTGATTATAACCTAAAGCCGTTAGAAACATTTCCAATAAATCAAGGGAATGAGTTACGAAGCATGCTTTTACTGAAAAAACATGCACTACCATTTATTTACTGGAATATAATGCTTAAAGGTTATTGGAATGGTCCTAAAATGATAAGAAAAATCATGCATTTTGGTCTCGATTAGATTAAGAAAAATTATAATGTAGTTAAATATAAATACTTATCATGGATAAATAAAATAACTATTATTTTGGGGGCAATAAATTTATAGTTATTAAATAATAACAATTATTTATAAGCACTATGATTTATTTAATTAATAATAGTTAATACTCTACATACTATGCAAAGGATATCTTATTAATATAATTTGTAGTTTGTAGATATATTATATGTATCAATGCATTAAAATATTGTATACCAAACATTATATTTTAAATAATTAAAAAAAAAAAAATGGTTGTAACCTGAGATTTTGAACAAATAGTCTTAGATGCATCAAGTATGGCGATCATTTTTACAATTTTAATGTTTAAGTAATAGAATAAAAATATTTTAGGTACCTGTGTTTCGCGTGTCAATGAAATTTGATCTATGACAAAATTCAGAAGTATCTAATATTGTATCATTAGAATCTGCTAAATTATTGTTTTCAGTTTGAGATGTTTCATCTGTAAAATGTTAAACATTATTAATTATAATTTATTTAAGAACTACTAATTTAAAATATACAATATTTATTTACTATTGTTGTATAAAGTGTCTTCTTTATTAGCTTCAATTGCAAGCTGTACTAATTCGTCAACTTCAACAGATAAAACATCATGGTCTTCAATCAAATGACACTGAAATTTTAAATCAATTAGCTAAACATATTTAACAAACTTTCTTGTTGATTGGGTATATTATAATGTATTTGAATGCAAGTCAATTTCTTATATCAGTAAAGATAAAAATACTTAGGCTAATAAAACAATTTTTGATGAGATAAAATCACAATGTAAAAGAAAATATTTTAATAATAGGTTTTTTCAGTATATTTTATAAATATTTTCAAATATAAATCAATATCATAGACAATAGATATTATGGATCATTTAGAGTAACTTAAATATTGTTTTCAATAAAATAAACATAGTTATTTGGAATAAAAAATAGTAATTTTTGATAATAAAAAAGTAAAATATAGATGCTAAATACTTACTCGAAGAACATTTACTGAAAAAAATATATTATCACATCCAATACATTTTGTTTTCAGTAAAGATTTAAGTGAAGAATGATGAAAGTGATCACTTTTTTCATTATGCTCCAAAATAATTTTGACATTTAAACAAATAAATGGACATGAATCACAATAGTAAAATCCTAATCCATTTATAATCTTATAGTTAGTAGAGGCTGTTTTTTCTTCTTCTTTGCATGTTTTTTGATTTTCTGAAAATTCGCGGAAAAATGTTGACATTTGACTATTTCCTAAGTCTAATAGATCATCACTGTTTGAATTTTGAATGATATCAAAATCAGTAGTCAAATCACTAAAATTATTCAACAAATTTTGTTGCAACCTAGCTATTTCTGTTGTTTTGGATATAAGCTTTGCGTCAGATATTACTCTTACACGTTGGGCAACCAACCGATCTTTATCCACAAGCCTCAGTGTTTGATTAGATGGTTGTAGTCCAATTGATGACAACATATTGGAATTAGTTATTAATAATAAAAAAAAGAATGAAGTTAATCGTTAATGTTTTTACTCGTCACAATGAGCTACATAAGAGATTTGTGTTTCGATAATATTCAAGTTTGCTCAATATATATAGAATAATTAAATATTTATTTTCATAAAGTCACTGATGAGACATAACTAAATAAGGAAGAAACTTACAAAATATGAATAAATACTCAATGACAATTTATCTTATTTTGACAAATACATTTTTATTTCTTAGGTCTATCGTTATTGTTATCACATACTTGGTAATATATATATACATATATTTGTGGGTATCACTACTGCTAACCTCTTATTATTGATAATAATCTTATCCAAAATTTGTTAGTGTTACCAACAATATATTTTTTTTTCATAATTAAATCAGGGGCTGGTATAAAGTGATATTATTCTATCGTCAAAATCTACAGGATTTATGATGATAAGAAAAAAAAAATGTTAACTTAATCTATTGATATTTGAGATAGTCAAACTAATTCTATTATTTCTATTTTCTATTTCAAAAATTCATAAGTTGACATATTGTTAACCAATAAATATAATATATCATATTATTATTATTATTATTATTGACCAAAATCCAATCATTAGGTCAACAAATAATTAATAATTACTAAAATACTAATTTAATTATTATTGGTATATACTAAATAAAGCTGATTTTATTAATTGTGATAACTTTTAAAATGACATTTACTGTGTTGATGGCTAAAAATGTTCAAAAATGTTTCAAATTTATAACAGGTTCACAGACAATCAGACATTTTTCATCAAAACTAGCTGAAGAAGACTTGAAAGTAACTGATGATTGTATTAAACGTCTTGAAGCTATTTGTGACCAAGATGAATTTCTTCGTCTAAGTGTTGAAAGCGGTGGCTGTTCTGGATATCAATACAAGTTTGAATTAGATAAAACTATTGCAATAGATGATTGTGTATTAGAAAAGCAAGGTATTAAAATAGTGGTGGATACAACTTCTTTAAATTACATCAAAGGATCAACAATTGACTATGAACAACAGTTAATCAGAGCTGCTTTTAGATTAATAAGAAATCCACAAGCACAGGATGGATGTTCTTGTGGTGCATCATTTTCAATAAAAATTGACTGATTGTATTTTACTTACCTCAACTTTTAGTGTAAATAATATAATATATGTTATTATTGAATTTTGTTATGTGGTTGTAATATTAAAAAAAATTAGTATTTTTAAAATGTATAATAAATTAAACCTTCAATCATTCAACATACAACTTTTAAACTATCTAATAAATAGATGCTAAAATTCTGAAAACAAATATGTTTATTTAATTTAAAAAAATATTAATGAACAATCAATCTGGAAAAGTAATATAATGACCATTTTTAAAAATCAAAAATATTTATAAAATATAAAACTTTTACTTGATATTTTTTTGAAGACTTCAAGAAAATATTTATTTTTGAGTGATGAGATGAAAAATATTTTTGACATAAAATGTTTACCATAGTCACTTTTAACACCTGCAAAATTAACACCACTGTGTAAAACTTGTATTTTTATAAATTGTAACAACTATATACTAAGATTAACTATAATTATTTAGAAAATACTTACTTTTTAAAAATCAATTTCTACTTAATAATCTACTATGGTTTTAAAATTAAAATGCTATTTTAATTTTCTGATTAAATAAAAAATGTACAACCATTTATATTGGCTTATCTTTGTTTATTTTCATTAGAATCAATAGTATCTATCTTACTAATTAAATTATTAATTATAATAATTTTTAATTTAATTTAACTTTTAAAAAATATTATCATTTATCATTACATATTTCATACTTACTCAATATTACAAAAAAAATTTATTTTTACAATTTTTTTATCATCATCATTTATTATTTTTTTTATTAGTAGGTATAACGATATATTATCCTTTTTTTTCTATAAATATCTGACAACACCAAACGATCAACTTTCGCTACGCCACTACGAATCATTTATCATTTATTATACATTATTCATAGTTTTATGTATATAATACCAATTATTAACTTCATATTACCAAGTACATAATTTTTTTTGAGTAGGTATGTCGATGCATTAAAATAAAATTCTGAGTGAATAATTCATCAATAATTACTAATTATACCAAATTACCTACTTTATAAATAATTTAATTTTTAGGAGGATTAGTAGATCAATATATTAAAAGATAATTGAAAGATGAAGTACTGCAATTGTGCCTCTATCTACTCTCCTTCAAAATTCATATAACTTTAAATAGGTACAATTTTTTTTTTTTTATTACTCATTAAGTAATAAGTAATAGAAAATAACTAGTTAACTATTCGTTTGAAATATACGATTTTATGAACATAATAAAATATTTTGCATAGAAATTTGAAATTAAATATTTTTTTTGTTATTAAAAAAAAAAATTAAAAAACTTAAATAATTATGTAAATAAAAATTTTAAATATAATTTTTGTTTTAATAATGTTGTTTGTGCTATTGCATTAAATTATGTAAGCTATTAATTATAAATTATGAGTAATAACTAATAAACAAATCGTATTGTTATAATCAATGTAGGTAGAGATTAATAAACACGGATCACCTTCTTTAAGTTATATAACAATTTTTAGTAGGCCCCTTATTTTTTATACTCAAATTCTTCCTAACAACTCGCACATTTGTGGCTGCTGAGCAGACGATACATATTTCATATACAAATGATAAACCTATCACGGTAGATATTCCCCAAGCTAGCATATTAGCTCTTACACTTTTATATTTTTGCCTCAGATATACTTCAATTAGAATACTCTGAATTGCTACCTTCGACGATGATAAATCTATAGCCTCTTCCCACCTAGACCTTGAACAATCCTTAAAACGACTTTAATACCTACCTATCATCTATTAAAGTTTCAAAGCTAATTCTGCCTTTGTAGAATAAAAATAAATGAAACTAAATTTACCCATAAAACTTATACTATATAATCAACTTTAACCGATGATTTCTAAATATTTAAGTGGTGTCATTTGATCTTCTATTAAGTTTACATGTTCAAATAAAACATCTATAAAATATATTTATTGTTTAAATAATGTATACAGATACTAAATATTCTTAAATGAAAAAAAAAAAAATGTTAATTTCATCTTTTTTCTATATGTGAATACATGGCGTATAGAACTGTTGGGAATTCTTAACTTAGTATTAAAAATAAATTACATTATGCGCAGTTATATCTTTTAACAATAAAGTCATAAGTCTTTTAAATATTTATTTTTTTTTTTTTTTGATTAGGCATTCTTATTACGTCGCCATCACTATTCGCTGGGTTAAGAAACCATTTTTTGTCGTAATAGCAGCGATTCTGTCAAGTTTAATGTAATTCTATTTTTATTAAAACTGTGTATAAGTATTTAAATAAATAACTTTCTTAATCCTTAATATAGTTTTGTTGTGTGTTGAACATTCCTCAAGTCGAACTTTAAATAATTTAACCATCATCTAACTGGAAATTAACCAAGACAAACTGATTTGAGGACGATATCACGATTCACGATATCGACTAAAATGTCTAAAACCGAAATCGAAAATATCGTTCAAAACAAAACTAGAAAATAGGTTAAAATTAGATATAAAGCAATATATTATCATTGATCATTGAATAGAGTTATTTAAGTTATTTTTTATAACCAATGGTAATAAAGATACAGAACAGTTCGTAAAAGCGGGAATTATCCAACTTTTATGGTCAACACTGTTAAATAAATACTAATAATCCTTGGGTTTTGGTTGATAAATTTATTTTTGGAAATTAATTAAAATTATTATAAAATAGTAGCATCTAACTCTTATCCTGTTATCCATCAATTAATCGATAATAAAATATTTTACCTGTAATAATTGATAATTGTAACTTGATATAATTCCATTTCTACCGAACGTATGAAGCTTTCATTAAACTATTCTTTCTTGTTTGTAAAATATGAAAGACTAAAATATTTTAATAGTACAATATTTAATATTAGTTTGAACTGTAACAAAAAAAATTACTATATATTATATTTTGGTGAGTTATATTTTTGTTTTTTGTTTTTTTCTAATAATTGGGTCTAACCACGTTATATGTTTTAAATCAGTGATTTAGTTTAAATAATTTAAACATACTAGGCGCGGACTCAAAGGGTTGTCCAAATGCCGCCCCCCCCCCCCCCCGTAAACTCTTAATTTTTAATTTTTTTATATAAAATGTATTTTATTTTTCTATCTGATGACCTTTTTTTTTTTGCTTTCTATGCGTCCCTCCTTGAAAAATTTCTAGATTCGTCCTTATGTCCCCCCCTTTTCATAAATATGTTCTTGATCTGCGCCTGAATTATACTATATTATTTCATAAAAGTTTCAAATTTTATTAATATTATTGAACACTTATAGTGAGCTTAACTCTTAAGCAGTATTAAGAATTAAAATTATTAAATAATTCTATGGTTTTAGAATATGTAATTATATAATAATAGGCTTTTACTAATACTGTTAATTAAAATTTATTATTATTAAATTAAAAACATTTTAGTATGGACATTATGATTCAGTATACTAATGAATTTCTACAAAAGTAGGTAATCTGCATAAACATACCTAGTGTTAACTCCAACAATATTTGTAACTACTGAGATTAAGTAAATAAATATCCATTATATATATGAAATAATAATCAAAACATTTTTGCTTTCTCTTGACTGATTTATTTCTTATTTTAAAAATGTGTTTTAGATATTAAATCTGTTAGTGCTTAAAAAAAAAATGTGTGTCCAAACATTTATTGACCAATTTCAATATATAAATTAGTTCTTTATTTTTTTTTTTATGTAATTGTAATTTACTAAAACTTAACATAGTTGCTTAAAATATTTACTGTAATATTGAAAATTTAAATAATAATTTGTTGGATTATTTAGTTAATATAATTGCATACTATTAAATTTTATATTTTTTATGTGTATTTCAGTTACTGAACAAAAAATAATTTGTAATTACGGGTGAATAAATTTATGAAATATAATTAAAATATGAACTGTAATATCATCAACAAATTTATTTAAAAGTAAAATTATACAACCATATTCCAAAGAAACATCAACCATGGATGAATTGTGTGATAAAATGACTTCCATAAATGTTACACCTCATATTATTGTAACAAATTATGAACAACTAGAATTATTATTAGAATCTGAACCTGAACAAGTATTTGAATTTCTAATAAATAACAATGACTTCAAACATGTATTGAATAAATGTGTAGATATTACAGTACTCATACATTTGATGAATATATTTTCAAAAATTAAATCATTGCAATTAATTAAAATAAAATATACTGCTTTAGAAATGATATCTAATTCAAAATATTTGGAACATTTAAATAATTCTCTTATTGATATTACCAAACTTAAAGATTTAATTAGTGGAGTCAAATTACAAGAATTCTTCAAAAACTGTAAAACTATATTAGAACTTACTGAAAATCCAAAATCAAAAGCAATATTGAACGAAATATTAACATTTATACAACCTATATTAATTGAATTAAATTTAACAAACATTCAAGAATTAGTGTTGTTAAATGATGACTTAAAGACTGATGATATGTTGAAAAAGTTTGTACATTATGATGTTAAAAGGTGGCCACAATGTTATAAATCTCTATCTATTTACCCTGTAATTAAAGATATTACTGCAAAAAAAATAATTTTAAGTCCAAATATAATGAAAGGAAATTATGATAATGTAGAGCATTATATTGATGTACAATTTCGTTTACTTCGTGAAGATGTTTTAGCTCCAATGCGAGAAGGTATTCAATCCTATAGAATAATGAACAAAATTGACCAAAAATATGTTGTAAAAATGCCAAATATGCATATTTATTTTGGGGCAAAGATTACAAAAAAGGATATGAATAAAGAAACTTTTCTAGTGCATTTTTTTACTAAAGAAGATTGCTCAATTAATTCAAAAAGATTTATGTTTGAATCACTATTAGTATTTAGTGATGATAATTTTGATTCCATGTTTTTTGCTACAGTTATAAAAATAAACAGACAAATATCATTACCTATAAAAACTTTAATAATTCAACCTTTGGGTAATAAAATATCAATTAAATTAAATTCTTCTTATACTATGGCTGAATCTGATGCATATTTTTTACCTTACATGTATAGTATGAATGTTTTAAAAACATTTAACCATTATAATTTTCCTATGAAATCTTACATTGTTTATGGAAAAAGTAAATCTGAAGTTCCAGCATACTTAAAATATAACTCAAAAAAATATAATATTAATGGTTCACAGTTTGATATCTTAAATGATAAACTTTGGCCAGATAACAAGGTTTTAGGACTTGACTATGCTCAGAGAAAGGCATTTAAAGCAGCATTAACTGAAGAATTTACTGTAATTCAAGGACCTCCTGGTACTGGCAAAACATTCATTGGTCTTAGAATAGCCAGAAGTATTATAGAAAATATGTATGTAACAAATATACTTAAAAGACCAATTGTAGTTGTATGTTATACAAATCATGCCTTAGATCAATTTCTTGAAGGTTTAATTCATATCACTAAAAATATTACAAGAATTGGTGGTGGATGTAAATCTGTTGTTTTGAAATCTCATGTACTAGCAAATATTAATAGTCCTACATCAGAATTACATTTGAAGAATTCATATGTAGTCGGTCTTACAACTACTGGAGCTGCTATGAGACATTCTTTATTATTGGATCTAAAACCCCCTATAGGTTAGTTAAGATTTTAAATTTTATTAGTAAATATTAATAAATAGCTTATTATACTATAATATTGTATAGATTGTGATTTATTTAGTTTAATGAAAAAAAACTATAAGTATTTATTAAATTATAATCATATTTATTTAATAAATACAGTCAAAACATCTTTAACTCAAAATTGTCGATACTACAAACTTTTTCTCTGGTCCCTAGAATTTTCTATTTAAACAGTATGAAAAAATCTTAATTAACTCGAATATTTTTGTGGATAACTTGAAGTTTTGAGTTTTATTAATAGTATAAAATTATGATTTCTCTCCTGTACCTATGTATATATTTTAATATTGAAAATATTCATTAGCGTTATTATTACCGATAAGTGGTTTAGAACGATTCACTAAAAAACTCTACAATTAACAGTAAAACTCAAACAAAACTATATACCTTTTTAAAATAATTTTCTAGCTTAATTCTTGTTTATACATACATAACTTTTTAAAATTACATATGTATAATTCATATATAAATATATACCTAGTAAATATTTTTTATTACATTAGGTACTTTATTTATAATAAATACATAGAAATTAATATATTTTGTGTTGTATTAAAAATTTTTAATTTGGATAACTTGAACTTTTGTAGTCCCTTCAACTTTGAGTTAATCAAGCTTGACTGTATTAGTTTAATGTCTATAAACATACATACATGATCAATAGATATTTAGTTTAATTTAACTAATGTTTTTTTTTTTTTTTCATAATTATTAAATTTGTTGGTTATATTTCTCTTATAATATTTAAAATAATTGTTTTGAAATATAAAATTAAAATATTAGTTGGATAATGATTTGTAAATATTTAATTTAATACATTAATTTAAAATGGTAAATAAAATGTCTAAAGTATTTCAACAACTGCAAATAAAAGTCAATTATGGTTTAAGTATTAGAGGTGTACAAAACTGTTTTTATAAAATAAAAATTTAATTTTTTTATTAAAGAACTTGACATGTATACATATAAATGTATGTACATGAAATACCAAAATATTAAATTAAGTATAGGAAGAATTGCAATTAATTAATAATTTACTTTTAAAACTGAATTAAATACTATATAATTTTTAATTAATTTGTTTGTATAAAAGAAAATTTTATTTGTTAAGTAATATTTTATTATTGTTCTAAAATTTGTAGTTATTGTGGAAGAAGCAGCTGAAGTCTTAGAATCACACATAGTTGCATCTTTAACTGAGTACTGTCAACACTTAATTTTAATTGGTAAGTATTATATTTACTTATCAAAATAAGACCTTAATTTAAAAATTATTACCAAAACTGTTAAGCTTTTATTATACATATAATACTTTTCAATATATTATTATACAGTCAGCATTGATTGAATTTGCTTATTTTTTTTTTATGATAGCTTAATTATAAAGGTAAAAACAAAAAAAAAAGTAGGAAAGCAGATGACTAAGTTTTATAAAATGTTTTTTCTTCTTATTTTCAAGCATCATACAATTTAAATTATATATTTTGAAAAGAGATATTTATACTTTGAATTTATTAGAATTATAAAATGGCATTCAATATTTTTACTAATCTTTTTTTTCTTTAAGAAAATTTAAGAACAAATAGTGTTATTTTATAATCAATTATTTATTAAAATATATTTTTATGACTTAAAGGGGATCATCAACAATTGCGTCCAAGGAATGCATCTTTTACCCTTGCAAAACGGTTTAATTTTGACATTTCATTATTTGAACGTATGGTTAAAAGTGGATTTCCCTGTTATACATTAGCCACACAACATCGAATGCGACCTGAAATATCTGCTTTGATGAAACCTATTTATCCTTTTTTAATGGATCATAAATCAGTTAAACATAGAAGTAATATTGGCGGTGTTACTAAGAATATATATTTTATCCACCATAAAGTACCTGAAGAAAAAGTAAGCAATATTATTAATTAGTTGATAGTGGTAATAGCTAATAATTGACTAACTAATATCTATTATCAATCCTAAGTGTTTTTATTTTAAATTTCTCTAACTAATAATATCATATAATTATATTTATATATATATATATATATATATGTTTCATATGTTTCATTAGGAAATTGGTTCTAACAGTCACAAAAATATTCATGAAGTGAAATTTTTTATAGAATTTGCTAGATATTTGACAAGTCAAGGCTACCATCAAAATCAAATTACTATACTTGTTACCTATCGAGATCAACTGTTAGAATTTCAAAAGGTAATTCAAATTATTTAAAAAACTTTTTTTAAATTTATTTTATGTTATTTGTTTATTAATTTGAGTAACCCAAATAAATAATGTTTAGAACATAACTAACATTTTTAAGTATTATTAAAAAAAAAATTACTAAAAATAATATTATTTCATTGGCTAATGGATGCTTAGAAACAATTTTTGCGGCTCCATGTGAAGCCAGTTTTAATTAATGTAAATAATAATGATATAAGAACTATAAGCCATAGTTAATTGATCAACTTTAAATTAAATTTAAATATGACAATAACACTTTGATTTCTGTTCATTAATGAGTTAAATAATTTCAACTTTTCATTTAAGTTGATTTACAAGAAACAATAATTTTTGGGAGAAGTTTTAAAATAAAAACTAGTTATTAATAGTACTTTAACACTAGCTGTAGGGAAAAAATATGTTTTGTTGATAACACTCCTCCAACAGCAGTGTTTAAGGTGCTAATTAACAAATTATATTTTGAAATTTTTCATTTTATTATAACTAAATGTGTTGTCTATTATTTTTACATTTTTAACATATCAAAAAAATTACTCTACATATAGATTTTTTTTAGTTAACATATTAAAGTTATATAATACATACTATAATATTATGTTTGACCAATTAAAAATAGTATCTAACACATATTTTATGTAATTATTTTGTTTCATTGTTATATAGTAATTACTGTATTGATTAATTTTTTTATAATTGATGGCTTAGATTCAAGAAAATAGTTTTTTCTTGGAAGATTTTAGAATTGAATGTGTAGATGGCTACCAGGGTGAAGAAAATGATATTGTTTTATTGTCTTTAGTACGCAGCAACATTGATAATAGTATTGGGTTTTTACACATTCAAAATCGTGTTTGTGTTGCTTTATCTAGAGCTAGAAACGGATTATACATTATGGGAAATATGGATAATCTTATACATTCATCAATATGGAAAAAGATAAGTCAAACACTAGTTGATCAACAAGCTCTTGGTATGGAATAAAACTAATATAAAATATATTAATTTTATATTTTGAATAATACTTCAAAAATTAATTTTTTTTAGGCAATAAATTGACTTTATATTGTCAAATTCATAAGGATTGGATTAACACGGTCTGTGATAGTAAGGATTTTGCAAAAGCTCAGTGTTCAAAAGTATGCAATATTAAAATGGATTGCGGTCATCACTGTCCACATTTTTGTCATTATAATGATCAATCTCATAAAACTTTGTATCGTTGTAAAAAAATTTATATAAAGTAATTTAAAATTAAATTGAAAAAATGTTTAAAATTATTAATTATTTTATAATTTTTTAGGACATTACACTGTGGTTTCAAAATCAAAATAGAATGCTGGATGAGATTTTTAATTTTTGAATGTCCTCAATAAGGTAGACTAATTTAATTTTTGAATTTTATCAATTATTAAATGAATACAAATAACAAATTTTAAAAACGAACTATTTTGTGTACATTTATTTATTAATTATTATTAAATAAAGTATGATTAATAGATAGTTTTCTTAAATATGATATAATTTAGAATTTAAAAATATGGTAGGTATCTTGTATCAATGTATTTTTTATTTCTTTTATTTATTATTAGCATAAAATATAATTTCATATTACAGACTATAGAAATTATTACTTAGTTTATATTAGATAGTATTATCATTATGGGCTAATGGAATATAAACAAATTATCATTCAGCATTTAAAATTTAGGATTATTATTTAACATTTTATAATTATTTAATTTTTCTTAAATCTGAATAAATCGTTTGCCCTATATTTGTAATTATAAGATTACTATATTTATGTATATATAATTTAAGTATAATTTTATCAGTGTACATAATTACTAAGAAGAAAATAAAAATGTTTTGTATGTATTTTTTAAATTAAGTACCTCAAAGATTTCAATTAATTTTGAATTAAAAATTTTAATCATAAGTATTAATGACCAGTGTTTATAAATCTACATATTTATTTATGAAATAATTGTATACAGTATACTGTAAGAATATTAATTATAATTCTGACAAATTGTAAGGGACCTTTTGAGAATATATATCTAACTCCAATAATATATATTGATTGAATAAAGTGAGATTATTTAAAATTTCTCAAAATATTTAAGCTTAAATAATTTACTATATAATTCTAAAACTAAATTAATAACATAATCAATATAAACTAATTACTTTTAAAACCATAACAATTTGTTATTAAATATAATAATTTAATATAAGTTGATATTTCTTGTTTTTCAGGTACCTATCTACATTAAGAAAATCTAAAAATCCTTTATCATATTGTACCATTTTTTTTTTTAAATAGTACTATAAAATTCATCATAGACATAATCACCGACATATTAAAGATATTATATTGAAACTATTTTTCTGGAATCTATTGTTAACTTATGAAATAAAATGTATCCAATAGCAATTATATTCAACTATACATATAGATACCTAATTTGTGATTGTAAAACATATGTATATATATTTTAATTATATTATTTTAAATCTTATTGAAATGTAAGTATAAATTATTTTAGTTTGTTATTTTGGTATGTTGAAAATGTATATTAGAGTATTTTTTAAATATGAATTATTAATCTAAAAGCTTGTTCCTTAATTATAAATATTATATTAGTATACTCTGTCCCGTGAGAGAACATGCTGCATCTATGTATGCTGAATGAAGTCTATCAACTGATCTTGCTGTTGTATCTCCTCCATACATCCAAATTTCGGTGGTGGATGTGTAATGCCAACTAGTTTTGATTTTCATGTAATGTGTTCTCTTGTGGGATGGAGTATAGTTTTAAAGCAATTAAGTCTTGTAAAGTATTTGAGTAGACATATTTAAATTTCTAAATTATATTGATTATACTTTTAACAGTGATCTCATCTTTTGTTTATTATTATATTTAAATGTTTTATTTGTTTACTTACATATTAATTTTAAGTCATTAAAAAACAATTATTTAAAAAAATCATTTTTTTTATATTATTATTTTATTTTACTATTTTTACTCTATTAAAGAAAAGAAAAACATTAATTTTTAATATCATTTTGATGTAGTTAATTAGTTAACTTGTAAGTAAATAGTAGCATGTTGGAGTAGGTTTTTTAAGACAGTTGCCTCAAGACCAAAATGGCCGGGAGGGGATATTGAACAATAGATTTAGTATGATAACATTTTTTTATAATATTTATACATTTAAGCAAAAAAATAAAATAAAATAGATTAAAAGCTGTGTGTGAATTAGGTGGCCAATTAGCAATTTACCTCATATCTAAAAGATTTTCAGCACATTATTGCAAGCAAATAAGTATTCAAAGTTTTAACTAGGTACCTATGTCTATTATATAATATGTGAAGTGATAATATGAATAATTACAATAATTTTAATGTGAAATAGTTCATATCAATGACTACATTAAAAAGCAGTCACTCTAATTGCAATATATATAACTTATAAACAGGGCTGAGATGTATAGACTATATCATAATAAAATAATTAAATATGCTTAAAAAATCCTTAGAATAGGTATATACGCTATAATGTGCATTAAAAAAATACAAATATTATATTTTAAAAATGTGTACAAATGTAAAATTTATGAATTTTTAAAAATGTGTGTAGGTAACTACTCTAATTTATTAATCTTTGAAAAAAAAATCAAATATATAATGTATTTATCTATGAACTATGAAGTATTATTTATTTGCAATTTGATGAATTAATATTTAGTACTTTCAGTTGTTAGACTATTATACAGTTATAATACGTTTGAAAATACTTTTAATTTTAACAATCTTCTATTGCTTAGTTGCTAAAAGAGCTTTGTAAATAGAAGTATAGTTTTATTACACTGATGTAATTGGTGTACATGAATAATAACTAAAAAAAATTTTCGATAAGCCATTAAAGTTCTCAATAGAGTACTAAATATAATAAAATAGGTATTAACTTAAGTCTATAGCCCATGCACAAACAATATATATATATATATATATATATATTATATAGTTTATATTTACGTTTATAATTGGTTAAAATGGTTAGATAGGTTCGACATCTGGGCTATAGACACTAATATCCTGTTTCCTATTCAGTCGGAAACCACTCATTCGAATTTTGCTTAAGATGCATAAAAAATTTTCTAAAAATATCATCTCAAAATGGAGTTCCTATGTTTGTAACGCAACTGTATGTGTATGATACATATTATGACGGTTGTCAGAGATTTTTCATGAGTTGAACACCTATAATGCCTTAATCAAATTGTTCATACCTATGTATATTGATAATTGTAATAAATACAACTAAATTATCAAAGTCAGTTTTAGATTAGTATATTTTTAAAGCGATTTTGAAAAATTAGAATAATTCACTGAGTATATTTTGTAGGTTAAAGTTTGTATACAGTTTAACATACTAATGTGTAGTAGTTATTATTATATATTAAAATTTGTTATGACTTAATTATTTAAATGTAATCGTGTAGGTATTGAGAAATCAATTGTTAAATAATTTACTGCTCATCTACTTTGTTAACGCGCAACTTGTATTTTTCGATTATCCTTATATGTATATTAAAATAGGACATTAAAAGTTTAAAAAAGTTCAATAGTTATAATTTAGAAGCCACATGATCATTATTAAATGGCAAACAAAAATTTCAAGGAGGTAATCTAAAGTATAGTCTTAAAGTGTAATAAAAAATTACAAAAATTAGATTTTGAATAATTAGGTAGGTAATGAAAAAACGAGGAAAATCTTTGGTGAATTTCCCCGTTTATAAATAGATAACAATGATACTAAGTTACTAAGATGGGATAGATCATGGCTAAAGTATTTAGCCATGGGATTAAAATAATAATTAACAGCTATATTGAAATATAAATAATATAATTTTATTATATACCTGATTTATACAAATATATTTTATTTTATGTAGGTTGTTATTTTTGTTAATAATATCAAGTAAATATATATTTATATAGAATAGTTATTTATTATATTTCAAACATTTACATATTATTATAATCCATGCATCTTTTTCCGTATATTACCACGAAATGATTATCTTACGTTCTATATTTTTATGACAGTAAAAGTAAGTACTTAATTAATAAATGACTAATGAGGATGTAGATTATTAGTTAAATAACGCCAGTTATTTAAAATATTTCTTATTAGGAACAGTTTTTGGTTTACCTAGTCCCAGTGACTGAAAAAAAATTGGAAAAGATACCTACACAAAAATATTTTGATAAATAAAAGGTAGATAGCGGTGAAATCCAAAATTGCAAATAGTCTATTTTTTTTCAATAGACCAAAAGCGCTAATTTATTTTGCGCTTTTGTACTTTAGCAGTAGGATAAATGCTCAAAAATAAATATTGTACTAGTTACACAATAAGTTTCATTTCAAAATAATTAATTATTAAATTAAAAGTATTTTTATAATTCAAAATACATTAACAGTGAGTTCGGTTGAAGTGTAGTATTATATCGTGACGAATTACGGAGAAGATTAATAATCATTTAAGATAACTATATAATTTATGCAGTATAAACTTATACATAACTTATAAAATACATTTTATTGTTGTAAAATTTATTTGCGCTTATAGTTTGTTAAAAAGGTATTATTTTTTTTTGCACTTCTGGACTATTTATTTTTGCGCTTTTAGGTTGCGTTTGGGTTTTATTTTGTGCATAAATGCTACAGTCGGTAGATAGGTACTCTATATGACCTAGCTATTACCTAACACAACTTAAATGTACCCTCAGTCCTCACTAAAAACCAAATCCACACATCAAATTATTAAACAATTCAAAACCTTCAAGTTTTTTCGAACATTTTAAAACGATTTTTCTTAATAATGTAATTGTAAGTAGTATTGAATATTGATGGAATTGTATTTAACAAATAAGAAATAAAATATTATTAAGAATAGGTATTTAAAACTAAGAATTAAGGTCTAAGACTAGGTATTCAATATTATCGCTCTATTCACTAATTAATTGTTCGATCATTGTTGTTAATGTTGTTATACTTACTCGTTTATAAATAAAAGATAGATTAAATTGGTTATCTTCAATGGGAGATTCCTGAAATAATTTAAGTTCTTATTATTATTTTATTAATAAAAATACGAATATGTGGTAATAAGTCATACATTCGTGCAGTATTCAGTATTAGGAATTGGGATTTAGTTTAGTTAGTGGCTCGTGCATACTTATTTTCTAATTACTTTACTTCTTCATGTACATTCATATAATATAGTCATATAGAACCATGTGGTTTTTACAAAAACAATTTTTTTTTATTTTAATATTTTTATTTTTTTCAGGTTATTATTTTTAGTTATATTTAACTTTTTTTTTAATTACTTGTAATTTGTTTTTTAGAATACTAAAACTTCTATACATATTAACAATAACAATTATTTTTTTATAGAACTGCAAGTTAATTGTTGTAATATAAATGATAAATCATTTATTTGCTTATTTAAAGTAAATGAACCAAAAAACTGCAATTGTGTAGAGGGTAATTAATAACTTGATTATTAGTAATAATAGCTGGAGAGGTATAATAAAAATATAATTTTTTTGGGTTTTAATACAGAATATCAAACTGAGATTGATTTATTGTTTAATGATGTTCCTCACAATCTCCACGAAAAGTTGTTGACCGGGTCTTTAGCTGATTTTACTGTTGAAGAAATTACCAATCTTCCTACAAGTCTTTTATATTTTTTACCGGTTAGTAAATTGGACGTATTAACTAAAAAAAATTTCAAACAAATATAATTTCAGATAAATAAGTTGGCTGTGTTATCTGGTAGTCATCTAGCATCTCTTATAATTACACATGAAGATCATACACCAATAGCTAAGAAGATCCTTCAATCTATTAAAACAGATCAACAACGCATTGAGTTTTTAAACTTTGTAAGAAAAATTATTTAATTTTTTTATTTCCATGTTTTCATGTACCTAAATTTTATTTAGTTAGTGTTAAATGTGATAAAAAATGAAAAAATACTAGATTTCATTGGTGAAACGGTTTATAAATGGAATTATGATATAAAAGATGGCAAATTTCAAAAATTATCGAATATATGTGGTTATGCTTTAGCTAGACTTTGGACACCATATGTTATTACTACAACTAAAAATATTAGTACACGATTGTAAGTACTTTATTTAATGTATTACATATTCCTAATTTATGAAAACTATATATGTCTAAGAATTAATGCTTAAAAAATAAAAGTAATTACCTATCTACTAGCCGAACAATACTTAAATTAAATTAAATTAAATATTGTAATAATAATGTATATTGTATATTAATTTATCTTTACAAATCATTTTACGTGGTATAATAAAAAAGTCATACTTTTTTGTTAATATTAATTATGATTGTAAAATTAAGGTTGT